TGGTACCCCACAGGAGTAGAGGGGAGGGATGGAGTTCACTGGGACGTGGTACCCCGCAGGAGTAGAGGGAGGGATGGGGTGCACTGGGGGCTGGTACCCCACAGGAGTAGAGGGGAGGGATGGGGTTCACTGGGACCTGGTACCCCACAGGAGTAGAGGGGAGGGGTGGGGCATACTGGGGGACCCCGCAGGAGTAGAGAGCTTGCCATTCCCTAGAGGATCCAAGCCTCAAATCTCTCTTGTTCTTTTCCTTTCTGCTGCCCTACCACTTCCTGTGGGCACCCTGCTGCCTCTGGCCTGCAGCATCAGGTAAGCTGCTTCCTTAGCTTTGCCCCGGCCCCACCCCTACCCCCTGGCCAGCTTTGCTGGGTGTCTGCTGGCCCCACCCCCGTGGGGACAGGAGGGGTGGGGAGGAGGCAGGAGTGCAGTTGATGCTCCTTGTCTCTGGCCCCACACAGACTAAAGAAGAGCAGTCCCAGATCACCAGCCAGGTGACGGGCCAGATCGGCTGGCGCCGTGAGGGTATCAAGTACCGCCGCAACGAGCTCTTCCTGGACGTGCTAGAGAGTGTAAACCTGCTCATGTCCCCTCAGGGTGAGCACCCACTCACTCCCCCAGCAGTGGGCGGGGCTGGGTGGGGCTTGCGCAGGGGCCTGCCTCAGCAGCTTCCCCACTCTCTGCGTCCCCAGGACAGGTGCTGAGTGCCCACGTGTCAGGCCGGGTGGTGATGAAGAGCTACCTGAGTGGCATGCCCGAGTGCAAGTTTGGGATGAATGACAAGATTGTCATCGAGAAGCAGGGCAAGGGCACGGCGGACGAAACAAGCAAGAGGTGCCAGAGGCAGGGGGCTGGGGCGGGGAGAGGCTGGGCTGAGTGGGCCTGCCACGCCCCTGCTTCCTTCGGGTTCAGTGCCACCATCATGCAGACTCCCCTTCCCAGGGGAGTGCCTGGCCGGTTGCTCCTGGCCTCCGTGCTCGCTCACTGCCCTCGTGGAGGAAACCCCTTGGCATGGTCCCCAGGGCCGGGGCCTCTGCGTGGGCTGCCTGAACAGCTGGGTCCCAAGCAGTGCAGCACTCAAGACAACGCGCTCTCGCGGGGCCAGGGTCCCAGGTCAGGAGTTGCCCTCCTGGGCATTCTCCAGCTTGGCACTGGCAGCCTGGCCTCACCTCTGGCCCTTCTCCTGTGCCAATGAGGACCCCCCTCCTGCCCTGTCTGTAGCGGGAAGCAGTCCATTGCCATCGACGACTGCACTTTCCACCAGTGTGTGCGACTCAGCAAGTTTGACTCGGAACGCAGCATCAGCTTCATCCCTCCCGACGGGGAGTTTGAGCTTATGAGGTGCCCTGGGCTGGGAGGGGAGGGGAGGAGAGGCTGGGGAGGGCCTTGCCAGGCTCCGCACCACTGACCCTGCTCTTCCGCTTCAAAGGTATCGCACCACCAAGGATATCATCCTTCCCTTCCGTGTGATCCCGCTGGTGCGGGAAGTGGGGCGCACCAAGCTGGAGGTCAAGGTGGTCATCAAGTCCAACTTCAAGCCCTCACTGTTGGCCCAGAAGATTGAGGTGAGCTCAGGTCAGGGGCTTGGGGAGAAGGCAGGATTTGTTCTCGGGAGTAAGAGCCGCTGCCGTTGGGGCTTGGTGGAGCCCCACATCTGACCAAGTGTGTTCCCCACAGGTGAGAATCCCAACCCCACTGAACACAAGTGGGGTACAGGTGATCTGCATGAAGGGCAAGGCCAAGTACAAAGCCAGTGAGAACGCCATCGTGTGGAAGTGAGTCTTGGCTTCGTGTGCCACACAGGGCTCGATGCCTTGGTGTTTGTTACCCTCTGGGTCCGTCTCATTTTTTCTCCACATACCTCCTTCCTGCATGTGTGTCTATGCCTGCACGCGGGCTCACACATGCATTACGTTTTCAAGAAACAGAATGTTTGCCCACCTGCCCTTGGACCACCTCTGACAGGCGGAGCTGGGGGGGCGGGTAGCAAGGACCAAGGCCCACCATGCTACAGGAATGTAGCTCTGTGAACGGCAGGATCCTGGCCACTCTTCGTCACACTGCTACACCCCTTAAGCCCCTGGGTTCTCTCCTCCTGGCCATGGGCACCCCCATGAGAACTCCTCAAGGCTGCGAGGGAAACTTGCTGCCCATTGCCCCTGTGTTCCCAGGATCAAGCGAATGGCTGGCATGAAGGAATCACAGATCAGCGCAGAGATTGAGCTCCTACCCACCAACGACAAGAAGAAATGGGCTCGTCCCCCCATTTCCATGAACTTTGAGGTATGGCAGGGAAGGGCCCTGTAGAGCCATGGTGGGATGTGCTGGGGAAGACAGACCATTCCACTTGGCCGCAGTACCTTCCAGGCGAGGAAGCGGGACCCTTGGGAGCATCAGTGACTTGGTAATTCATAGACCTGTTCCTTTCCCCTCGAGCCTCTTAGCAGGAACTGCTATTTCTGCTGAGAGAGAGCAGATTGTCTTAGCCTGTCATGAAGCAGTGCCCGGAGAAGGTAGATGACTTCAGTGCTGACTAAGACACATTACTCACAGCAAAGTGGGCTGGCTTCGTCTTGAGCAGGATAAATACATTCTAGAGCAATCCTAAAGGAGTTCATTCAGGTTTTCGCAGGCGGGCCTGACTTCAAACCCACGGCGATGGCTGTTACTCTAGGGTGTGGTTTCTTCAAGAGTAACCACAGGGAGGCCCCCAGCCTGACCGACACTTGCAGTGGAAATGAGGTGGGGCAGACGGGGGGCTCTGCCACCTTCCTAACTGCTTGTCCCTTTTCCAGGTGCCGTTCGCTCCCTCTGGCCTCAAGGTGCGTTACTTGAAGGTGTTTGAACCGAAGCTGAACTACAGCGACCATGATGTCATCAAATGGGTGCGATACATTGGCCGCAGTGGCATTTATGAGACCCGCTGCTAGCCACCCAGTGGTAGCTAGCCTGCCTCCCCCCCAACCCCCCAGGCCCAGCACCCTGGCTACCACACATTTGAGTCTCCTCTCCTGCTTTGCTGCCTTCCCTTTGCACCAGCCCCGAGTCTGGTCTGGACCGACCGCGTTGGAGTGGGACTGGTGGAGTGGTCCCTGGGCCCCCTGGGCAGGGGCGTGCTGGGGTTCCTGCGCCCCTTCATCTGTCCTGGCCCAGTGCTGGGCTGTTACCAGTTCTGTGACCAAAGCCAGATGGGTCCCCTCTCCTCCTGTCCCCTGTGGCCCATATGTCTCTGGAGTGAGAGGGTAGGCTGCCCCTCACCTCGGAGCTCCCCCAAAGGCCAGTAATGGATCCCCAGCCCTCAGTCCCTACTCTGCTTTGGGATAGTGTGAGCTTCGTTTTGCACACGTGTGACTGTGTCCAGTTAGGAGCCCAATAAACCCTGTGGAATGGACGTGCTGGCTACGTGTTAATGTGCACGGGGAGGCTGGCTTTCGGGGTTGCTCTTCCCTTGGGTCCTTGCATTGCCTGCAGAATGTTCTATTCCGGCCTCTAAAGGCTCTTCCCTTCCTTCGAGCGATCGCTAGGCTTCCCCTGGGCTATCCAAGCCTCAATGGTGTTGGTCCTAAGTCTCCTGGTTTCTCAGAGCAGAAAACAGCCGCAAGGGAACACAATCCCTTTTAGCCCTCATTCCCTGAGGTTAGCGATTCTTTCACTCAAGGCATCTCCAATTAGGGAGGTTAAGCAAGGTTTACATTTGGTGTTTCTAGCCATCTGAGAAACAGACTGATTTCTGAACTCCATCCTTTTCCCTTGTCCCCAGGCTTCCCAGTCCATGGGGGTGGGGGTGGGGGTGGGGGTGGGTGAGTAGTGAAAGCAATGAGGGGGATGGGGAGCACATGCCTGCAGAAAGTAGTTCCTTTGCCCACCTCAGCTTTTCCTGGCTTGGTGGAAGGTGTAACTTCCATCTATTCTCTCCTGAGCATTTTCCACTTGGATTACAACCTGTTAACTTCTGTAATAAGCCCTTTAATCATGCGGGGGGTGGGGAGGTGCGAAATCTAAAACCATTTCAAACTTAACCGGTAGAAGATAATGAGCTCCCTTGTCTCATCACCCAAATGTAATGATTACCATCTCATAACCAGTTCCTTAATATCCTATCCAATCTGTTCACCAAATCCAACTGCCCTGTGAAAAGTGTTACAACTTGTGCCCCGATCAAAACAAGGTTCATTTATTGTGGCTGTTTATGCTGCTTCTGTGGGTTTCGTTCGTTCAGCCTTCTGGAGATTTTGAAATCGTGTAGTTCTGTAGTTTCCCTGTGAGATGTTTGCCAATAACCGTATAACCTTCTGATGTCCCTCAAGATATTTGATTGGCAATGATTAGTTCTGAAAATCTCCCTAGGACGTTGAAGAGGGTTGTAGGAGTGGGTTGTGCCCGTGGGGTGGTGGGAAACACCGCTGAGCTGGCCGCCAGGTGAAAGGGCTGAGCCTAGATCGCCAGCCAGCCAGCTGGGCAAGGAAGATGGGGTCAGAGGCCAGCCGGGCTCCCGCTCCCCGCCGTGCAGGGGGCCGCTTGAGTCAGCCCAGAGCCATCGGCCTCCAAAGTGGACCCACGGCGTGTAGCGGCAGAACGCATCATATCTAGCCTGGCTGATGTGGTTTATCAAGCACCTGTCTCTCGAGGCAGGGAGGTTCCCACCCTCCGGACCACTTAAATCTTGTGCCCTGATAAAATTCCGACTTCCCACTCCGCTCGCAAGCCGAACGCCCAAAAAAGCAAAGAGCAAGAAACCGCACTTCTGGCTAATCTGTCAGCTGAAAAGGGCGCGCAGGCGCAGAGCCCCTCCGGCGGAGGCGCTTGCGCAGGGTCCTCCAGCAGCGCTCGCCCCGCCCATCGGGCTCCCAACGCTCCACCCCTTTCTTGCGTCACCGAGACGCATGCGCTCTGGAAGGAGAGACGCGATTTAGGGGGAAGGGCAAGGGACGGGCCTTGGCCGAGGTCTCACGGAGACTGCGCGGACGGGAGCCCCACAGGAACATGGCGACTTGCGCTGAAATCCTGCGGAGCGAGTTCCCCGAAATTGATGGACAGGTCTTCGACTATGTGACGGGTGAGCGGAAAGGAGTCAGCGGGCTAGGAAGGCAGAAGTGGAGGTCGGGGTAGATTGCAAGGGAGAGAGAGCAGGACCCAGGCGTCGCCGCCGCGTCTCTCCGGCGTGACCTCTGGTCCCGAGGGCCGGTTGGGTCGGGGCCCGGCCTGGGGCCGCGCTTTAAAGACTGAAACTGTTGGCATGCCCGCCGTCTTCTTCCTCGCCCCGCCCCGCCCAGGCGTCTTGCACAGCGGCAGCGCGGACTTCGAATCAGTGGATGACCTGGTAGAAGCGGTGGGTGAACTGTTGCAGGAGGTGTCCGGGGACAGCAAGGATGACGCGGGCATCAGGGCCGTGTGTCAGCGCATGTACAACACCCTGCGCCTGTAGGTGCCGGGCCCGGGCTGCGGGGGCGGAGGGGAAGGAGCCCGGGAGCTTGTCCCTCCTCACCGAGCTCTCTGTCCTCGCCCGCCAGCGCTGAGCCCCAGAGCCCCGGGAACAGCCAGGTGTTACTGGACGCCCCCATCCAGTTGTCCAAGATAACCGAGAACTACGGTGAGAGTGAGGGAAGCTTCCTCAGCCGCCTCCCCTTCTGGGCCAGCCCCCTCCTCCCTGGAACACAGCCCCCTGAGGCGTCTCTGCAGAGGCCGGGAGGAAGGGCCCTGAGTTGGGTAGTCTTTTTCGAAGGTCACGCTGTGGCAGGAACACTAGAGCCATTGGGGCTGGAGGGACTTGGCTTTACACCCACCCCACTCACTCTCAATGTTGCAACTTACTAACCAACTTCACGGCCCGGGAGCTCCTTGTCCGCCTTGGCCTTTGTATCTTTCTTACTGGGTTTTTCCCCACGAAGTGGGCAGAGGAGGGTGACAACTAGCTGTCCTCCCCAGGTTTAGAAGGCTTTCCTATAAACGTCTTGCCTGTGCGTGGTTCTTATTGGTCACTCAGAATGTTAGTTTCCTCCCTCAGGGAGAAGGTGACTACTTTCCTTATTGCTTACAGGCTGCGACATCAAACTTCCAGGACTGCTAAAGCGAGACCAGTCCTCGGTGAGGAGGGGGGAACGGGGTGGTGGTGGTGAAACCTTCTGAATCCTCCGGGGTTTTTTCCAGGGGGATTTCTGATCACGTCTGAGTCAGTTGCTCGTCACAGATAGTTGATAGGAATTACCTTGAGTTGTTCTCTCTGGGAGCTCCTTTCTGAGCCCTTACCCTAGGGTGGCATGGTTGTGTTTGGACCCGTAGACTGTGAATGCCAAGAAGCTGGAGAAGGCTGAGGCTCGGCTGAAGGCCAAGCAGGAGAAGCGCTCAGAGAAGGACACGCTAAGGACCAGCAACCCTCTGTGAGTTCCGGGCGAGAGGCTTTAAGCAGAGGTGCCCGACGTCCCTGCCGGGAGGCTGGGGTGCTAAAAGTTATCCGCTTCTTCTTGAAGGGTCTTAGAGGAGGCCTCAGCCAGCCAGGCAGGCAGCAGGAAAGAGAGCCGGTTGGAGTCATCGGGCAAGAACAAGTCCTATGACGTGCGCATCGAGAACTTCGATGTGTCTTTTGGAGATAGGTGAGGGCGTGGCCGTGAGGTGGCATTCTTTTTCCAGTAAAGGAGGATGCCTGCTGAGGGGACCACGGGACAGGCCCTGGACCACGCTCTGGTCTGTTTGTCACCCTGGCCACGCGCCCGCTACAGCACCCACTGTCTCCTGTCCACCCCTCCCACAGGGTGCTGCTGACTGGTGCCGATGTGAATCTGGCGTGGGGTCGACGCTATGGGCTGGTGGGGCGGAATGGCCTAGGAAAGACGACGCTGCTCAAGATGCTGGCCACACGGAGCCTGCGGGTCCCGGCCCACATTTCCCTGCTGCACGTGGAGCAGGAGGTGGCAGGCGACGACACCCCTGCCCTGCAGAGCGTGCTGGAGAGTGACACGGTGCGAGAGGACCTCCTGCACCGTGAGCGGGAGCTCAGTGCTCAGATTGCCTCTGGCAGGTGAGGAGCCCATCTGATTCTCATGCCAGTGTGGAGTAAGTAGTAGATCTTGGAGCAGAGCCCAGTGGGACTCTAAGGTCCCTGTCCCTCTCATGGTGTCCTCTGTCCTCAATACCTGGCCCAGCAACAAGCCAGCCAGAGAGCGTAGTGTGTGGGCCAACCTCCCAAGGCTCCCTCCAGCTGATTGACTGTTCTCCCCCCACCCCGGCTCCCACTCCAGGGCGGAAGGCTCAGAAGCTGCACAGCTGGTGGAAATCTATGCCAAATTAGAGGAGATTGAGGCTGACAAGGCACCTGCCAGGTACTGGCATCCTCTCCCTCCTCCCATCCCACCCTGCAAATTGCCCCCCTCCCTTAGGGCGCCTGTTCCAACTACCTACTTGAATTTCTTCCCTCCCAGGGCATCTGTCATTCTTGCTGGGCTCGGCTTCACCCCTAAAATGCAGCGGCAGCCCACCCGGTAAGTGGTCCTTGCCAGTCTTATCTCAGAACACCCCTGGCTCTGCCTGTCTGCCCTGGCAAGCCCATACCTCATGTGGCCATTTTTCTCTAGGGAGTTCTCAGGTGGCTGGAGGATGCGGCTAGCCCTGGCCCGGGCCCTGTTTGCAAGGTGAGCCTGCTGGACCTCTATCTGGAGCCCTGTGGAGGCAGGGCTTGGGGAGGCTGGGAGGTGGCAATTGGTCCCTGGCCCAAAGCCTCACACCGTGTGCTTCTTTTTCACAGGCCAGACCTTCTGCTGTTAGATGGTGAGTTTGAAGTGGGCACCCTCACTTTGGGATGGGCGAGTGGTAGCATCTAAGCACTTGCCCTCTGGCTCTCTAATCACAAATGTGTGCTCCCCACGCCCGCCCCCCCTCCCCCCCATCCTTTCCAGAACCCACCAACATGCTGGATGTGAGGGCTATCCTGTGGCTGGAAAATTACCTGCAGGTGAGTGCCTGTGGGCAGGCGAGGGGCGGGACTAGGAAACACCTGCCACCAAGGCCCTGGGGGGCTGTGAACTGACTGCCCTCCCAAACTGGGCCTGCCGTCCTGTGACCCCTCAGACATGGCCCTCCACAATCCTAGTCGTCTCCCACGACCGCAACTTCCTGAATGCCATCGCCACAGACATCATCCATCTGCACAGCCAGCGCCTGGATGGGTACCGGGGAGACTTCGAGGCCTTTATCAAGTGCAAGCAGGAGCGGCTGCTCAACCAGCAGCGGGAATATGAGGCCCAGCAGCAGTACCGCCAGCACATTCAGGTGTGGGGCGGGCGGGCGGGCAGGCTGGGGTTCCTCTCCCATGACAGTCACTTGAGGACGGTGAGTACCCCCATTAGCCCCCATTCTCTTCTACCTATAGGTTTTCATCGACCGGTTTCGCTACAATGCCAACAGGGCCTCCCAAGTGCAGAGTAAGCTGAAGATGCTGGAGAAGCTGTGAGTATCACGTGCCACCTGCTGCCCCTAAGCCTGCTCTGCCGGCCACCCCTGCTCTTCCCATTCTAGGTTTCTCCCTTGCCAGAAGCAACGTTGGCACCTTTTCTTGCAGCAAAGCAGACAGTTCTTGGGGCTAATCTTTACCCCAATCCTGACCTAGACAGGCACTAGCCTAATGCTCTCTCCAGTGGTTGTGCCTCTGCTGGGCGTTTTAATATAAATGTGTACTCTGTGGCCTTGTGTCTGGCTTCTTTATGTTTAGCAGAATGCATTCTTTTCCAGAAGGCGGGATGTTAAGAATTTTTTTTTTCCGTATTAAGCTCTTTACATTTCAAACCATCCGATCTGCGTTTTACAGGGCTCCTCCCTCCATGTTCTCCCCCACCCCCCACCTCTGGCTTCTCTTCTGCCTCTTGGGGACTTGCACCTCCTCTCACTCAAGTCGGTCCCTGCCAGCCTTGTAGTCTTTGCTTCATCTCCCAGCCTGGCCCTCCCGTCCTGGGAACCTCCCAGGTCTGATCCCTTTGGCTGGCAAGTCCCTGTCTTCCTTTGGGTCCTTACAGCGAGTCTCTTACAGTGTTGACCCTTTCATGGTTGTCCGGTTTCACTCAGCTTCATGTTCTCCAGGTCCACCCCCACGAGCAGCTGCGTCACGCTTTCACGGGTGGGGCTAGGAACGCATAGTCCCCATGGTGTGGACACACCAGAGTTCCGTAGCCCTCCCCCCACTGACGGCCCTGTGGGGTCGCTCCAGTCCTTGCTGTTGAGAGCAGCAGCGCAGTGGGCCTGGGAGTGCGCATGTCTGTCTGCATCATGGCTCTCCCTTACTTCAGCACGGATACCCAGCAGAGGGACTGCTGGATCATGTGGAATCTCCAGTCCCCGCTGTCTGGGATAGCGCCATATATCGCTTTCCCCCACGGTTAGATGTTGCACAATGTTTTCCGGTCTCTGTGTCGTTCCTTTCTGTAACTGAGTAATGTTCTGGAGGACGGCTGTCGCGTTTTGCCTGCCAGTTGGTGGGCACTTGGGTGTTGCTACTTTGGCTGCTGTGAGGATGGGTGCCATGAACATCCAGGCGGTTTTTTGTATGGACTTAACATTTTCATTTCTTTTGGGTATGTATACGTAGGAGTGGAGTTCTTGGGTCTTAGGAGAGAAAGATGAGGCTATGTGTCCTTGTAAAGGATGACAGCCTTAGGAACGCTATACATTTGTGGGGGCGCCAAGCCTCTCTCCAGAGCCGCTACAACATCTTGTATTCCCACCAGAAGTGTGTACGGTGTCCAGCTTCGCTGCACCCTCACTCCCGCTCCCGCTCTCTGCCTGGCCTTGTAGTCTTAGCCGTCTTGGAAGGTAAAGAGGTGTCTCCTTGTGGTTTTGATTTATATTTAATGGCGTTTTGCCCTGGAGTTTCCTCGTGAACCAGCCTTTCTGAAGGTGCCGGTGGGGAGCTTAACAACGAGAAAGCTCACAACGCTTGTGACAGAAGCATGTGAGGTGCTCACTGGGGCGAGCGGAGGCTCAAAGGCGCAATCGTATTCTTCAGCCTATAACCACCTAGAGGAGTGCCCTCCAAAAGGAGGTCAGGATGACTGTGTAGCGAGTGCGCAACACTGCCTGGTATCACTGAACTGCTGAGCGGTGTGATGTCTGGATCAGGTCCTGATAAAATGGTTTTGGGGGGGTGGGGGATGTCGCCTGACAGCCAGGATGATAAGGCTTTTTCATTGAGCGTACAATTCTCACTCACTGACGTGGTTGGGTTCCAAATACCAGATGATTACAAAAAATGAGCATGGTAAGAAAATGGAGGATGACCACATTATCTCACAAAATGGAGGAGGAGGAGGAGTGCTTCGGTACATAATCCCCCGAATCACACCACTGCCTAGCTGCCCAAGCACCGAGAATCCTGCAGACACATGACCTTAGCCATGCAGCCTAGCTCATGAATGCCAGGCATGAATGCACAAAAATAGATAGGAGAGCTTTCATTCTTGTAAACACTCAATGGATAGCAGGAGAGTTGGTAAGAGGGTCACTGTTGCTTGTGCATTAGGTTAAGGTTATCGTTTTAAAGTCTCGAATTTTGCCCACTCCATCTCTCCCCAGACCAGAGCTGAAGCCCGTGGACAAGGAATCTGAGGTGGTGATGAAGTGAGTACCAGTCCTCGCTCCAGGGGGCTGCAGTGGGACACCTGCCCTCTGGTCTTCCCCATGCTCACCCCTGCCTGCTGTAGGTTCCCTGATGGATTTGAGAAGTTCTCGCCACCTATTCTGCAGCTTGATGAAGTGGATTTCTACTACGATCCCAAGCACGTCATCTTCAGGCGTCTCTCCGTCTCTGCGGATCTGGAGTCCCGAATCTGCGTGGTAGGGTTGTTGTTCCCCTTTCCCTCTTCCAGGTGCCGTGCTCCTGCCACGCCAGGTGGTGGGACAGGCCCCAGATCTAGGGCCACAAAGAAGCAGTCCACGGGAGCAGGCAGCCTGGGCCAAGGACTTTGCCCCCCACCCGCTGAGAGAGCTGGCATGTGATGGTTTAGTAACACTTAGCGCAGGATTTTATCTTACTGCCCTCAACTCTTGAGTTTTTTCAAGCCTCGTGACAAGGGTCCCTGGTGGCATAGTGATTACGTGTCAGGCTGTGATCAAAAGGTCAGCACTTCAAAACCACCAGCTACTCTGCGGGAGAAAAATGGGGCTTTCTACTCCCACTAACAGTTACAGCCTCAGAAACCCAGGGGGGCAGTTCTGCCCTATCCTGTGGGGTCGCTATGAGTTGGCATCCACTCGGTGGCAGTGAGTTTGATTTTTGTTTTCCATGATGGGAGACGGGCTGTGGGGTCAGACTTGAGATGCTGACCCTGGCTGGTCTGGTGGTCTAGCGCTGTGGTAGCTAGTGCTCCCACCGGGGGAGGCTGTACCGGACAGAAAGGTGCTTTCTCAGGTTTCAGCGGCCTGATGTCCAAATCCAGGACCCCGGCTCTGGGGGAGGCTTTCTCTCTGCGTCTGCTCCGGGAAGGACCTCCGGGGAGACTCATCCTCCCATCCCTGCTCGCTCACTGACTCATCACTTCTTCCGTATCACGAGATGGACTGCCGCTCCCCCTGCGTGACTGCTGGCTCATTAGCGCAGCAAAGCTGTTCTCACAGGCATAGGTTAGCCCTTACAGCACGTTTTGATGGAGTACCGGCTGTAACTAAGCCGTCTCCTCACCTTCAACATGGAGACCATGTCTATAGTTGTTAAGATCAGTAAATCTCCAACCCTTAGTAGGCTTTCGATGATTGGTTTCCCTTTTATCACTACTCCCTCCTTCATTAGTCTGGAGCTTTGAAGAATTCCCTCCTTCCCGTTTGTGCCCCAGGTGCACACAGCTCTTCCTTCAGGGGCTCTGCTTCTTCTCACAGGTTGGGGAGAATGGGGCCGGGAAGTCCACCATGCTGAAGCTGCTTATGGGGGACCTGACACCCGTTCAGGGCATCCGACATGCTCACAGGTAAGGCGCATGTAGCACACCCCAATTCCACCCCAACACACACACATATGCACGTGCCCACTCATTCTGGCTAGATGCCTTGATG